ATAATTGTAACTAATTTTTATGCAAAGATGCCATTTAGCAAAGAATGAATCTCTTACTCCAGCTAGGGTAACGGATAATATTGTACAACTGCCACTTGCCTTTTTGTACGTGATTGTTGTGTTTTGCACTACAAATCAAAATCTCAAAAGAAGATAAACTCGATTTTAACATGGAATGTGTACCTGAAAGTGTTAGCTATGATTATCGAGAACATCGCAACTGGAAACTCATTTTGAAATTTAGTATGTGAAAGGGTAATAAATTACTCGAATTTCAGTGAAAATTCACAAAGCATGTTTTATTCACCGATTGCAATAAATATGGCGGCCGCGGAAGCCGAGCGGTCGCATTGCGTATTGCCATTCGGAAGGCTCGGGATCAAAAAACTTATGAAAAATTAATTTAAATAAAAAATTGAGTTAAATTTTCTAATGGCGGTCGTCCCTCGGCAGGGAATGTCAACCTCTCAGAGTGTATTTCTGACATGAAATGAAGCCGTTCGGAGGTAGCTCTGTATAAAGTGAAGGTCCCTCTATTTGTTGGATTGTGGTAGGAGCTCAGCCAATTATATATAAACATATTTATATAGATAAAGTAAAAATTCGTTCGGCTTTTTATTGATTTTTAAAATATGATAACTTTGGGTACATTTTTCCGATTGAAGTCAAAGATTCGCCGTTTCGAGTTCGCCATGGACAGGAAAAGATGGTAACCACTTGGTGCCATGTCCGGACTATAAGGTGGATGTATTAGGACTTCCCATCCGAGTTCCTGGAGCTTCTGGTCACCAAAGACGTGTGTGACCCGGCGTTGTCCTGATGGAACCCAATTCCGCCTCTGTTGTTCAAAGATGACCTCTTCTGGATGAGTGCTGCCTTCAAGCGGCCCATTTGTTGGCGGTAGAAGGCCGAATAGAGCGTTTGGCCATAGGGGAGCAGCCCGTAGTAAATGATTCTTTGCCAATCCCACCAAACACACAGCAAAACCTTCCTAGCAGTCAATCCGGTCTTGGAAACCGTCTGGGCCGCTTCCCCACCGCGCTTGACCACGACCGTTTGTGCTCGATGTTGTCGTAAGTGACCCATTTTTGATCGCCAGTAACAATCCGCTTTAGAAACGGGTCGATTTCGTGAGAATTCCTTTCATCAAGATTTTTTTGCGTTAGTTCGTGTGGCACCCAAACATCGAGCTTCTTTTTGAATCTAAGGTTACGCAAATGGTTCCTAACGGTTTTCTAGCTTCTCTTTAGTTCCTCAGCAGTTAAATAAGTGCTCACGTGACGGTCTGTTTCCACTATTTAAAAGATTTTATCGCGATTTTCGATGACAGGCCACCCGACGCATGGTGGTGTAATGGAACCTAGAAAACCACTTTTGTGCTACACGTTCGTTTGCAGTATCGGGCCCATAAGCTAATTTTAATTAATTTTTTCAACCGCTTTGGCTGCTTTTTCGCCTTGATCGAAGAAAAATTATAAAATATAGCGAATTTTCGCTTTGCTGGTGTCCATTTTTGACGAGCGCTCACAACGTACTGAGTCAATCAATCGAAAAACCGTCAAAGACAAACTTTTAGCGCGCATAAACACATTTTCAGCGCCGTATATATGACATGATACGGCACGTAACACTAGTACTATGGACAATAACGCCATCACTTATATAAAAACCGAACGAACTTTTTACTTTACTAATATATTCTATCAAAGATAAGTTTATAAACAAATTAAAGCATTTCATTTTCCTGGTGAGCATTTCACACTCAGCTTTCTATTTCTTGTTATTTTCAATTTGCAAAAAATTAAAAGGTAAAAAACAGCTGTTATTTTGACTGTCTGAAAAATGATGGATAATTCTGCGTTCGTTTACTTTTTTGAAAAAATCTCGCTTTAAGAGAGTTTTCTTGCTTAAGCTCTTTTAATTCATTGATGGCTGATGATAGCTAATATTTAGTTCGAACAGACCTAATAATCGATTATTAGTAATTTCGCTTTCTTCAAAACCATATGAGTTGGTAAGCTTTTGATTCCAATCTGGATGTTGAAATGATTTGAACCGATTTTACGATTCTAATAGCTAAATGTTCTTCAATCCTAAATCCCCGAATTTTTCAACTTACCTAAGAATGACAAAAGGTCATCCAACAAAGTGGGCAAGGATCAAAAAACGAAAACATACCAATTTTCAAGAATGTGCAACTTGCTCTTACTGCTCCGGGTGCCGGAAAGCTACTAAAGGTGAAAAAGTGTTTCGCTGAAAGGTACTGCTTCGGTGTCGTTATACGTAAACACCTATGATTTTTGTGAAGGAAGCAATTTGTATTTAAGATTAAAGGTGACGAACTTGCGAAAAACTGCTGATGAAATGAAATGTATACAGGTTTTGTGTTTAAAAATTGAACAGTTAAAAGCGATAGGCAAAGGCACAGTTCTGGCATAAATCAATAATATTCAATATTTTAGTATTTTAAATATTACTACAATAATAAGAGGGGTATCATAGGCAAGCTTATGGGTATGGAGTTACAGTCGCAAGGCTATACTCAATTCCTACTCTTGCATCCACATCGCGCCCCTGGAAGCCTGAGCAACCCTTGTGCAAGATACGGTAATCAACCCGTGTGGAGCCTTGGGACACGACTAATTAGAGAGGAAGCTTCAATAGAACCACTCCGTCTTATTTTTCAACATATCGTTGATTTGCGAACACGATCCGACGGAAGAGAAGGACGATTTGGCCAAAGATGCCTTTTATGAGCGCCTGGAGCGTGGTGGGGACCACTATGTGAAGATCGTGCTTGGCGATTTTATAGCCAAGGAAAGTTCGACGTCGAAAAGCTGCAATCACAACAGACTGCTGAACTGTTTTCTACTCGACTTGCACTCCTGCTCTTTGAGAGCCCTCATCAGCAACTCGGTATAACGAAACTTTGGACGGAACTTCAAACTCCCTACGTCCAGCTGCAAACGAAGTTATTGGATTTCTGAAAGGTCATAAAAACTGCTGGTACGATGAGGACGCATCTACAGACAAAAAAAAAAGATGCCGAGATGCTTTTGTATGAAGCTGGCCGACAAGGGGAATGCTCGAAGATCTTACGAAATGATACGACCGCCTTCATAAGGTCTCAAGACCGGAGCAGACTTTTATAGTACACAAAGAGCTCATCTAGTGACGGATGCCCAGAGTATACTGAATTTATGGAGAGCACACTTCTCGAGCCCGCTGACTGACGATTAACGTGGGATAAGCCTCCTTAATATTGCATATAAGGTGAAAGACTAAAGAACACAAACTGATTGGACCTTATCATAGACCAGATATTCACCATGCGCCAAATCTTGGAAAAGGCCCGTGAAAAGAGGATTGGATTTTAAAGCCGCCTTCGACAGCATGAATAAGAGCTGCCTTTATGCCGCAAGGTCTGAATTTTAAATCCCCGCAAAACTTACACGGCTATCTAAACTAACCTTAAGCAGCACTAAAAACACCGTCAGGATCGGGAAGGACCTCTCCGAAAAGTTTGATACCAAACGAGGTTCCAGACATAGTGATTCCTTATGGTGCGACTTTTTATTTCATTGCTGAAGAAAATAATACGAGCTGCAGAGCTCAATACAGAAGGTACAATCTTCTATAAGAGTGTACAGGTGCTGGTGTACGACGAGTATATTGACAATATTGACCTCAACAACCGCGCCGTGAGTTCTACTATCTCCAGACTGGATAACTTCGTCTATCTTGAAACCAGTTATAACACCAGCAACAATGTCAGCCTGGAAATACAACGCAGAATCAATCTTTCCAACGGGTGCTACTTTGGACTGAGGCAATTGGAAAGACTAGGTTGAGAAGACCCTGGCTAAAGTTGGTATATCCAGTTGGCCTCAAACAACAAAAAAAATAAATGACGCAATGTTAAAAATTCGGCTAGAATTGAATAAAGGGTAAATTAGAAGAAGAGTAACGGTCATTTCTATTAAAAAGAAAATTTATATGAAACTTAGTAGGAAGAATTTAGCAAATATTAGTGCAAAAACGACTTTCGGTTTTAATTTTTCTGATACTATGAGCACAGCTTTACAAGAGAGCGTTCGGACGTTCTTTTCGTTGCGGTGTTGCCAGTACACTTCAAAATTAACGTTTACGAAAAGTCACTCTCACTTCAAGGTAACGACTTAATTTCGCCTTGATACCATGGCGCCGAAACGAAAATATATAATTTAGTTATCTTTCTTGTTAACGAAAGGAAATGACATCGTTCCGTTTGTTGAGCAGAGCTGCAATGTCTTTCTCCGTATTAAGGATCTTGGAAAAGCGATCCAACTAGAGCTGTCTACGTGATGTGACGCTCATCAAAGTCCCAATTTCGTATTTTACAAGTACATAGTTGTCGAATTATGAAATGATGAGTCGTCAGAACTCTCTGTGGATGCATAAAGGACAAACAGTGTACTAAAATATTGAAAATTATGTTGTGAGTGGTCAACTTGATTAAATAAATCTATAAAATGCAAAGTATAACACGGGTTCAGTAAGTAATTTCATTTTGGATGAAGGAATGTTCATGAAAGTTTTCAGAAGTGTACTAAGTGCCCTAATTTTTGCTGAATTTCTCGCAATTTTGGGACCTCAACACGGATTTTTACGTTTATTTATACTTCCGGCAATTTTTCCGTACTTCGATATAATATTTCCGCTGGAATTGCAAATTTTCGAAGTTGTTCGTCATAAATTATTTGACAAAATTAAAATTGTAAATTTAACCCCACAAATAATAGACAAATAAAAATATGCATACAAAACATAAACAAACATTTTTACCGACTTTACAATAACTCAAATCGAAGTAAAAAAGTTGAGTGAAATTCACCATTACCCTAATTAAACCAAAAAAAGGTTACCCCTTTCGGACGATTATGAGTACGGCGACACATCGGAGTGAGAAAAAACATATTGTTTTTCAAGTGTAGTGTAATAGTAGTAATAGTGTATATTAGTAATATATCAAATCTTTTTTATGTTTATTTAATCTTAGAATGAATACATTGTAATAAAGATAATATATTTTATAAGTATTTAAACATTGTAAAATGTTACAATGAAATAATTTATACATGACACAAAGAATCTTTTTAGAACTATTTTGAAATTCTAGAGCTGGTTAAAAATAAACCAATCAATTACTTAAGTATGTCGGGAACTGTGTATCCTCAGAAGGTGCAGGTATTGTAACTCCTCCAGTGTCCACAGCTGGCTCATGAGGTAGTGAATCAATACTTTCGATCGGCAAGAAACTATCAGCAGACATCTAAAAATAGTATATGAAACACAAGCTTATACTAATTTTGTTTAAAAAGTAAACCTCATTTTTATCTCTTAATTTGTGTGAATGTTTCGAGCCCTTGGAACGAGTTGCGTCCATAGAATCTGAAATATGATTTTGAAAATTCATTTAAACTAATATGAAAAGCTTATGAAATATTAGAATAAAGTTCCTAATAAAATATGCATACACTAACCTTCGTGATTAACAATAAGCCCTTTTCGATGATCACTTTTGTGCACTTGCAGTCGATCTGCGCTTATTGTAACATAGCTGCACATGTCACATGCGATCTTTTTATACTCTTCTATATGCTTCAACCGCATATGACGCTTGAAAGCACTAGATTGAATGCAGAAAAAGTCGCATTGACTGCATTTAAACTTTTCCACCTTTAAAACAAAGAGAGAATATTAGTAAGTATTTTACATAGCCTATTAATTAAGATTAATAATTTCATGTAGTAGAATGAAAATGAAATTAGATTCTACAAATAAACTTTACATTTTGGGTAATCGGTAAGAGTAGTAATGCAAAGTCATTACGCAATAAGACAATGGTGCTATACGCAGTGACAGCAAATTGTGTGGGCTCCCATAACTAAAGGTTGTATTTTGGAAAAATTGGGGGTTATTTGGGGAAAAAATATAATTTTCATTTTATAATTTTAATTATTAAACCGCATCTCAATGAAGTGTAGAATGACAGTTACCGAAAGTGATCAATACAAAGTTACAACTTGTCTTCTATCGATTGTTGTCACGAATGCCATTTCTACGCAAGGGTTTCGTCGGATTCGGACCAGAGGGAGAACGGTAAATGCAAAGGGATGGTCAGAATATGTATGCTGTGCAGGCGTTAAATGTAAAGGGGTTACGTATGAAAGGCAGAATTATAGTCGATTAGAGTATGCAGACCTTAATCGTGCCAATATTACTTGGGTCTCGAACTATTCGAACTATGGGTGATACTTGGATTTTCACGATTAATCTAATACACTTCAATCGTCGGAATATAGTTCCATGGTCGCCGAAAAAGTGGCAACCCTTGGCCAGATCAACTCCAGTGCGTAGAACATGCTCTTGTGACAGATATTTAATTGTCAAAGAACTTAGTATGGCATTGACTATTAATTTTTATAATAACTATCCTGAATAATAAACTGAATAATGAACTAGGGAATAATAACGGTTAAGTGCTGTCTTAACAGAATTAAAATATAATAAATTATTCGCAAGTACTTATAATGTCAAATTAATTATTTTAAGAATAAAGTGTAATTGTATTAATTTTTTGCCATATACTGAAGTAATATAACACTACAAATGCTTCAACTTATATCGTAGGTATTATAACTTAAAAGGCATAGCTGAGGCAAGTAGTAGTACATTGGTAACGGCGAATACCGCAGACGACTCGTACAATGAGCTAATCAATACAGCGTCTATGCTGGCTAGGTCATGTCGTCCGAATGGTGAAAGCACTTCATACGAAGTAGTTCCCGCTGAAGGAAGCACTCTGTTGGAATGATCAGGCAAAAAGCGATCTGATTTCGCTTTATTTATTTTTCCGTTAAAAAGACTTCAATACTCCTAATTTCCAAATTCAATGTTTCCTCCTTATTTACAAAATATTTCGTTTAACCTTAATAACAAAAATTAGAGTATTAATATTATTTTCATTTTAAGTAATTTTTTGTTGTTGACTTTTTATCTGTTGCTGTTGTTGCGGCGATTATTCTAACCCCGCTTAGGGACAGGCTGGAGGGAGAGGGGGTTAGATGTGTTGGTTTTAGGGGGCATGGAAAGATGTGACTAGTGTCGTGCGGGGACTCATTGCATACTGGACATACGTTGGTATGTCGAGGTCGGGTCTGGATTGGTTGGAGTTTACCCTGTTTTCTAACAGAATAGTCAATATTCATTTTTGTGAGGAATCTCTAATAAAATTGTAAATGTTTTCTGTAAAAATTACAAAGTCTAACATTACCGAGCAGTCATGGATCAAAATGATGAGGAGTCCTGGACAACATCTGATGAGTACGCATACAAATTTTTTTTTTAGAAAATCAGTTGCAGTCCGTTGGAAAAATCAGGGAAAACCGGGCTTCATTTGATATCTCAAAAAGAAAAACATCTGGAGTTCTTTTATATCGCGTAAGCGATGCCATGCCATTAAATAAATTATAGCATTCGAAAGCTTATGTAAACGATGGGAAAATACCTCTAGCGAATTGTTCATCCAATTTTGATGAAAAAATTGCATAACACCTAGTAAATCGCATCAACAGCTATTAAACTATCTGATCAATATTAATTGATGGATTTTCTTTATCCGTCACGGAAATTTTTCTATACTTTGACAAAAGTAGAATTTGTTTGTACAATAGTATCACTCTAGAAAAAAATTTAGAGTCAAAAGTATTCAGGGGTTTTCATACAAACCGACAAAGAATTGTTTATTTATCGGAATTTAAAATCAATATCTGTTTGAAATTGTGTTATGAAACCGACATGATTTTGCTTTTTTCAAAGGTAAGTAACACAGTAACACCGATATTCGAATCAGCTGAAAACGCACTATTGCAAAAAAATATCGACAAAATTTGTTTGTATGGAGATTCACAGACCAATATCATCTTAACAAGGAAACCTTTGTAATAGTACTTGATGCCACTGAAGACAAGTTAGATAGGGCATCCCACCTGTGTTCCAACTTACAGCGAAACTGCGGTTTTCGGTTTGTCGGTAAAGTTATTCATGCGCAAACAGAAGCAAACTGCGCATCGTTAAGGTTTGTAATGCTTTATTTTATTATAAATTCTTAGTAGCAACGGACGTCGTCGGAGAGCCAGTTCTTTTGCCCTTATTATTATTTTTTTTTTCAAACATGCCGGTTTAAGGAAGAATTCATTTTAGATACCTTTTCGTGGCGCATCTGATGCGAATTTAGAACACTGGGATCCCTAGTTGAGAATTTGCACGTCTTGCAATGTAATGGTTTTTCCCCAGTATGCTGGCGTATATGTATCTGCAAACAAATCTTATTAGAAAAATTTTGCTAATATAGCAGTCGTTACTTACAATCAAACTAGCCTTTCTTGCCATTTTCTTACCACATACATTACATATGAATGGTTTAATTTTATTATGTACCGCTTTTACATGCTTCGAAAGGGTTTTACCATTTACGAATTTTCGAGTGCATACTTCGCAAGTCTTTTCTGCATAATATTTATTTTTGTACGCTTCTAAAGAATGTGCTCTCCCTTCATTAAATTTCTGTGCATCATATCTTAGGCGCTTCCGTTGAACTGCTCTTAGCGACCGTAGAACTCGTTCGCGCCACTTTTTGTGTACCCTCAAGTGACGCCAAACAAGGACTTATAATATAATAACGTTTTAATTAATTGGATATGCATATCATTTTAACTCCTTACCTGATGCATGTGCCTTGTATTCGCATTGAGGACATTGCAAAAGATCAACATCTATTTGATGAGCTTTCCATAGGTGTGCTGAGCAGCGACGCCAATTTATCATCTCTACACCACACTCATAGCATTTGAATTTCTGTGGAGTTTTTGAATTTGTATGACATTTGCTGTGCAATACAAGCTTTTCCTCATTTTCGAATTTATAAGAACAGGAGTTCGTTCTTGAGCAACTAACGGTTAAAGTAATTACAATATAATTATTCATAAGAAAAAAATATTACAAAATATGCAATATTACCGCAAAATCATTTTGCTACGCAACACAACTCGCAAGTTTCTAAATGGCATTGGTCGTATATCAAGTTTACTTGTTTCATTCCGATGGTACTCCTCCATTTCCATGGAAGATGCATTTGTGGCATTATGAGGCGTAGTATTCCAGTTAAGATCATTATTTCGTAATGAAATTTGTTCAGGTGTTAAATTTTGTTCAATTTTTGGTTTGAATTTGTGATATTCAATAAGATGTCCACGTAAATCTTCGATTAATGTATATTGTCGAAAACATATATTGCATACGAATACAATATCTACTTTGGTACCATTTAAACCCGAACGAAAAGTTTCTGGGTAACTGTTAATAAAATCTTCACTACTCATTTATTCACTTATTATAACATTAGTCCGAAATATTATATTACCTAAAAATTTATAAGTTTCATCAAATAATCAAGTCGGACCAGCATAAAAACAAACATTCGCAACAAACAATATTTATCGATTAAATTTTTGTGATGGCGATTAATATTTATTCGACTTTTTAATGACAGCATGAACTGCATATAGAGAACGTATTTCAGCCGTGCAGGACGGGTAGCTGTTGCCTAACATGTTATCCGCCTGTTACTTTACATACTGTTACGATTTTACTAAATCAACCTCGATTATTTTCTA